ATTCAACCTTTATTTATACAGATAAATCACATTGAGCCTTGAAGACTCATATAAGAGTGAGACCTGTTTACATTTGTAGATAGACAAAAAAAATATAGGATTTTGAGGCAAAAAACAAATCCTAGCAGTCTCTTTTTCCATGGAGGAAAAATAGCCTGAAATTGAAAAAAACACCTTGCGCAACGTATCAGCGTATTGGATATCGGCCAAAAATCTAATATCGTGCATCCCTAATATTTTTGAAGTATAACCATCCCTTTTTCTTCAGTGTTATTTAGAATATAGGATATAATTTCAAAACAAATGTCTGACACTTTGCCTATTTAGACTTGTTAATTTTTTCTGGTTCTTGTTGCTCCCTCCAGTGCGTGAAGCCCATGAACTTCCAGGAGGAAGTGAGGGCTCACAGAGACCTGGACAGCTTCTTGGCTCAGGCAAGCATCCTTTTGGATGAGAAAGCTACCACTCTGGATGAAGTCCTGAGGCGAATGGTTGCTCACATGTTGGAGGACGGCCATGGCAGCTGTGATACGGAGGAGGTGATGACCTCTTTGTTTACAGATGCTGGGGGGAAAGATATTAATGGTGAGTAAAGCTTGTTATGAAAAGCACTTTACATCATTTAAGGATATAAGAATGTTGCTTTAAAAAAATGTTTTTTTGTGACTTGTACTTGCATTATTCTGCTTTTTTCAAGTTCACCTTCTGTCAGAGACCATTCAGTGCGTGACGACAACTACAACTGGCGTCCATTACCAGCAATCCTGGCTTTGCATTCTGTGAGTTTTTCCGCAACGACGTCATTCAGTGTTTCTTTATCCCTATTTTGCAACATTTCAATAGACTTTTCTTTAACAGTAGCTTAATCTTAATTGCATAAATCAAAAATGTTAAAGAGGCATCCCTTTTATTTTTGAAAATGGGATAATCAGCACATACAAAATGCTCATAAATCAAATTATTTTCTTCAAAGCTCCAATGTGAGTAAACTGCAGAGACGTCATGTTTGCGTTGCTCGCCTAGAGAAGCCACAAAACTGGGGAGCCAACTGCTGTGAGGCTCGTTACGTCATCCTTATTCTTGCTCCACCCAGAACGGTAAGAGTAAGATTTAATTTGAAAAAGAAAGAAAAAGTCTAAATTTGCTGCAGGGCTGACACAGAAACACACCGAGCATGATCACACAGTTTAGATTCATGCATTGACCCAACACAGCAACACACAGTAAGGAAGCTTAAGCAGTGGCAAAAACATAAATATCAACTCTACAAAACGGCCTCAAATGGCCAACAGGAGACAAAAATGAACATTCCTAGTATTAAATTGAAAGTGCTCAAACATAACACTTGGAGGATCAGGTGAAATGTTTGAGAACCAGTTTTTATTCATAAACATGACCTGGACTTTTTCTTCCACTTGATCTTAAATAAAAAGTAAATGCAACTGACTTCAACAAATATATTGCTGTCCTTTTTATTGATTTTTAATACCGTAAGGTAGGTATTTTGATAGCTTGTAGTTTTGTTCTGGTTTTATTGTTTTTAATACAAAAAATTAACAAGTGAATGAACACCCTCCAAAGGTGGTGATTGTATAATTGTGCCAGGAGTTGTACTACTGCACCACTGTATTATAATAATAATAATGTGTTATGTATTGTCATCATTGTAAGTTCCCATACAATGGTGAAATTGGATCTCTGCATTTAACCCATTCACTACCAGGTGGTGCAGGGGGCAGCTATTTAAAGTGCCCGGGGAGCATTTGGGGATGAGGTGTCCTGCTCAGAGACACCACAAGATGTGCAATGACAGGGGATCAAACTGGGACTTTTGGATCCCAAGTCTTCTGCCCTGACTTTATACCATCTCAATCTATGTTTATAAAACAAAACATGTAATGTGACGGAACATGTAGTATTTCTTAAGACTCTTGTTTTTATGTTTTTCAGAAAAGCACCAAGACAGCCATTGAACTAGGTAGAACATTTTCCACAATGTTCTCTGACATTTCCTTCAGGCAAAAGCTTTTGGAGACCAAAACCCAGGAGGAGTTCAAACAGGAGCTGGTCTTCCATCGACACCAGCTCTCTGTGGTCGACGAGAAGCCAGTCTTGGAGGAAGTGGAGGACTCAGATCCACGTAAAGGAAAACCTCTCCAGGTGTGAAATTAGAGCAAAGAAGACATAAACCAGGCAGTTATGTACGGTAATCAATGTAGAATTCACAGAACTAAAAAGACTAACGAGATAGTCAATGGATGCCAAAACACATTAACCTAAATAAGCTATGGGAGCATAAATCTGTTTGACAGACTTACTTGTACAAACAACATTTAGACTCTCTATTAACTGTGAGGTCTCTCCAGATGTGGAGACCACCCTCATGTTTTCTGACTCTATCCAGGCACATAAAGATGTGGGGCAGTAACGTAGTTGAGTCAAATTATCTGAAAACCCTGTTTCCACACTGTATTAGGCCGACATGTGGAATGAGGAGCAGCTGGGCAAGATAATAAAAATGCTGCCAAGCTTTCCATGGAGCTGAGGACAGTGTGTGTGTAGCCTTGTGGAATGGTGACGAACTTTATTATGTCTCAGTTTTAAATGAAAGAGTATGGGAATGCCTTAATAGTCCTGCAACGCATGCATATGGGTTGTAAAAGACTGCAGTTAACAACTGGCTGTGATTACACCTGATGTCCTGACAGGGATGAAAACAGCACTTAAGTATAGGTTTGCTGCTACCAAGCCAGACTTTTAAACTAGTATGTAATTCCAAAATAACTAACACCAACAAGGTTTGCCAGTATGTTTGACTTTATATTTATTTTACCTTTATTGCTTTGAGTGAAACATTAATTATACAGGCAGAAAAAATGTATAGTTTGCAAATGAGATACATCTGTTTTTTTTTTAAATAAATTATCATTCCCTCATTTTTATTCATTAAGTCAGGATTTCTTGACATTGGGTTTGCTTCAGATCACCTGTCTCTGTAGAGAAAGTAGACCAACAGTCATTTCAGTTGATCCCCTACAGTTTATATTATACCAAAGCAAATCAAGTCAAATGCACAGATGCAATACTCCAATAAATACATGAAATCAACTGGGTCATTTGAACCCAAGGGCAGCAGGAGGGTTAAGTTTTTGAGGTGCAATGGTATTTAGGTTTTAGTCTGTTGTCCCTGATCAATAATAGTCATTTCCATTTAGTTTCAATAGAAACGTTTCAGTGGAGCTTCAGTATCTTGGTGGTCAGTGCCGTGGTCTTGTAATCCTGAGGTTGCGAGTTTGGGCCTGGGTTGCGTCAGGAGGGGCATCTGGTGTAAAACAATTGCCAAACCTTTCATGTGAGTTTACTCTCCGTGGCAACCCCTGAAGAAGGGACATTGTTGAAAGAAACTTACTTTTTTGTATAAAAGTTTCTACATGTGACCATGCATTATTTCTAGTTCTAGAGTTTAAGACTGTGCTGAATTAGTCTGGATTTTGTCCCGCCTTGTTCTTCACAGTATCGTGATTTCCTCAAAGCCGGTAAAGGGGTTTATAACGATCTCCGCCGCAGGCTGCCTCTATATCCTACAGACTTCACTGATGGTATTAAAAACAACACAAACCATTGGTTTTATAGGCATGATTCAATTGTAGATGTCTTATGTATATGGTAAATCAATTATTAGGTATAACAGGGAAAGACCGCTGTCTGCTGAAGTATGCCACCACCGCCCTCTTCCTCTATATTGCCATTATACTTCCTGCCATTGCCTTTGGCTCTCTGAATGATGAAAGCACAAGAGGGGAAATAGGTAATGATGTTCTCTTCGATTTTGCCATTTGGATAGCAAAACTTCAAGTACACAGTATTGAAGTGGATTTTATGGAAGCTGACATGCAATAAATTTTGGGGGGTATTTTCTGTTTTGACAGATGTTCAGAAGACCATTGTTGGCCAGAGCATTGGAGGAGTGATCTACGCTCTGTTTGCTGGTTCACCTCTTGTCATTCCACTGACCACTGCACCACTGGCCATCTTCATAAGTGGTGTGCACTGACTTCAGCTGTTTTTCTAAAGAAAATAATTTAAAAAAAAGATTGAAAGCACCAATTAATTCTTCTATGATTTAAGAATCATAAATCTGTTGATCAAGCTGTGACAGATTATTGATTCAACAGATTTACATAAGAATCATATAAATCTGTTGAATCAAGAATCTGTCAAAGTTGCTAATGTATAGCACATAGCATGATGAGTAACTAATACAACATAAAGTCAGACACTCATCTTCAGGAAGAGTTAAACAACCACAATTTTCCATCTTGATAGGTGATTTATGTAACTTAATGTTTCATATTTTGGTTTAAATGTAATTTTAAAGCTGTTGCTTGAAAAGTTTCACAGCAAAATATTAGTCTCTGGAAGTTGTTTTGAAGGTGTATTTGTTTGTAATCAAAGTTTTTGTAAGGTTTAACCTTACAGTGAGTGTACAGGGTGTTTTTAAAAGCGTCTTGCTATTCAGAGCAAGTCATTGAATATATTGTTTTTCTTAAGCTTTGGAATGAAAAGCATCTGTGAACATGAAACATATTTACGAGTCAGTGTCTGTGCATGTCTTGTGTTTATAATTTATAGTTATCAGGGGTATTTGTGATGACTACGACCTCGACTTTGATGCTTTCTATGCCTGCATCGGTTTATGGAATAGTTTCTTCCTTATCCTCGGAGGCCTGTTCAATGTCAGCCTGCTGATGAAACTCTTCAAACGGTGAATGAACAACTAGACTTTCACTATTATATATTTCAGACCCATACCTGTACATATAAATATAATACCAGACATTAGCCAGTGTAATCAAGCCTTTCAGTGGAATAATTTTTGAGAAAAGGCCGTGTTTGTTAGACATTTCTGTACGTATTGTGTGGTATACAATTGTAATAACCACTGTTAGTTTACCTTGAACAGGAAGTTATGTCTGTGTGAATGTATTTTGTTTTTCATAAACCTGTCACTATATGCTTCCATTATTCTGTTTATGTTCTCAGCTCAACAGAAGAAGTCATTGCACTGTTCATCTCCATTGCATTTGTTGGGGATGCAGTGAAAGGCACAATCAAAAGTGAGCCAAGTCAAGGTCAAATTACATTGAACATGCAGTGAATACTTGAATTAATGGGTAATTCAGGCTATAAAACAACCACAAGGGAATCTTAAAAGGAAACAAAAGCATAAAATGACCTTCTTTAGTGTGTTGTGGTTTTATGTTTTTCTGGAATAATATAAGAACAAAAATGTGATATATTTTGAATACAAGGTCAGATTTGTTAAAGACAGACTGTAGTCTTCTTCTTTCAGCTGTTCCCTCTTCAGGGGTTGCCACAGCGAGTCATCCTCTTCCATCTCACTCCGTCCTCTGCATCCTCTGTCCTCACTCAAATTACCTCCATGTCCTCTCTGACTGAATCCATATAGCTCATCTTTGGCCTTCCTCTTTGTCTTTCCCCTGTATTTCTAACATCCTTCTACCAATGTACCCACTGTCCCTCCTCTGGACATGTCCAAACCATCTCAGTCTGACCTCTCTAATTTATCTCCCAGTTGTTCAACCTGTGCTGTACCTCTGATGATCTAATTTCTAATCTTACCCATCCTTGTCACATCCAAGGAGAACCTCAACATCTTGATTTCTGCCACTTCCAGTTCTGTCTCCTGTCTTTTTTGTTAGTGCCACTGTCTTCAGACCATACAACATAGCTGGTCTCACAACTGTTTTGTAAATTTTTCCTTTGACAATTGCTGCCACTCTTGTCACAAATCACTCCTGAAACGTTTCTCCATCCACCCAATCCTGCTGGACTCTTTTTCACCTCTTTACCACACTCCCCATTTTCCTGGACAGTGGACCCCACATATTTGAAGTCCTGCACCTTTGTGATGTCTGCTCCTTGTAGCCTCACTGTTCCATGGGCCTCCCTCTCATGCACACACATGCACTCTTTCTTACTATGCTTGACATTTGCTCCTTTTCTTTCTTGTGCAAACATCCACCGCTTTAAGTTCTCTTTCACCTGTTCCCTGTTCTCACCACAAATCATAAAGACACCTGCAAACATCATAGTCCACAACAATTCCTGCTGACCTCATCTGTTAGTCTGTCCATCACCAGAGCAAACAATAAGGCGCTCAGAGCCGATCCTTGATGCAATCAAGCTATCTGTCACTCCTTCAGTACATTTCACCACTGTCCTGCTGTTGTCATAAACTTTCTGTACCAGTCGAACATACTTCTCTGCCACACTGTCATTATTATCTTCCAGATTTCCTCATGAAATACCACACCTCCTCCCTGAGCACCCTGTCAAATGCTTTGTCTCAATCCACAAAGACACAATGAAGGACCCTCTCTGTAGTTCTCCATCAGTATCCTCAAAGCAAAGACAGAATCTGTGCTGCTCTTTCTCGGCATGAAACCATACTGATGCTCACAGTCACCTCTTGTCTAAGTCTAGCTTTCACAACTCTCTCCCAGATCTTCATTGTGTGACTCATCAACTTAATTCCCCTGTAGTTTTTACAACTCTGTACATCACCCTTGTTCTTAAAAATAGGCACCAGCACACTTCTTCATCCCTCAGGCATTTCTCACCCTCAAATTTGCCATTGAATATTTGAGTCAAAAACCTCACTGCCATCTTTCTTACACATTTTCAAACCTCCACTTGCATGTCATCAGGCCCTACTGCTTTTCCCTTCTTCATTCTTTTCCGAGATTTCCAATCTTCACCCTCACTAAACTTCCCACTTCCTGGTTCACAGCTTCTGTGACCTCTACTCTTCTTTCCCTTTCATTCTCTTCATTCATTAGCTCCTCAAAATACTTATTCCAACTTCCTGTCACAGGCTGCTCACTTGTTGGAATATTACCATTTCTTTAACAAGCTTAATGTGTTGCATATCCTTTCCAGCCTGACACATTTGTCTTGTCACCCAGTACAAGTTCTTCTCACCCCCTTTAGTGTCCGACTTCACATACAACTCATCATATGCCTTCTGCTTTGCCTTAGCTACCTCCCTCTTTGCTTTACATTGTGTCTTCTTATATTCCTGTCTACTCTTTTCAGTCCTTTCATTGTCATTTTTCTGCTTGGCAAACCTTTTTCTTTTAATGGCTTCCTGCAATTCATTATTTTACCATCAAGTTTCCTTATTATCTTTTCTCTATCTTGATGACATACCAAGTACTGTCTACTCTACTGTACATGTGTCTGTAATTAGTGTTGCTGTAGTAGCCCACTAATCTGGAAGTTCTTTCTTACCATCCAGAACTCCTTTCTGAACTCCTCACAACATTCTTCTTTCCTCAGCTTCAACCTTCTAGTCTTCTTATCTGATTTGACTCTTTTTATCTTCTTCACAACAGTCATTCTACACACAACCATTTTATTCTGTCTGGACATACTCTGCCCTGTCACAACCTCAGAGTCCCCAATCTCCCTCAGATTTCCTCTTCTACACATACTGTAGTCTACCTGTGGACTCCTGCCTGTCTGCTTCTATCACCACTATGTCCTCCCTGGGCTTGCTCTATATCACTATCCATATCCTTCCAAAATTTCACTTTTCACCTTTTTCACTACGTCGCAGCCAACCTATGGAGCATAACCACTGACAACATTTAGCATTAGACCGTCTACTTCTCCCTACAGACACATCACCCTATCTGACACTCTCTTCACCTCTACTATATTCTTTGCCATCTCCTCCTTCAGGACCACCCCTACTCAATTTCCCTTTCCATCCACAATGTGATAAAACAGTTTAAACCCTGCTCCAGTACTGTTAGCCTTGCTGCCCTTCCACTTGGTCTCTTGGACATGCATAGCATCGACCTTCCTTTCCTTTTCTCTTCCTTTGCTTAGATTACCTTGCATATATTAGTTTTTGCAAAAGTGTTTTATATCAGATGCTATTTACACAAAACTCACCATTTACCTTGGCTTGAGAACACAACTGCATTGAATTGCGCTGCTCAAGGTGGCTGCATGTTGGAGCAGCTCTGTTACTTTCATTCTGAAATTTTGCTTTTGGAAACTTTAATTCCTCTTTTGATGGATGCAAAGCACATTTTTTGAATGATTGTTTCCTTTGGTATCAGAAGCTGTGCAGCTCGAAGGATTTTTACTGAAACTTTTTTAGTTTTGGACATTTGTTATGATGCATAACCATGGCAACAAGACAATTTTCTACAACCAAGAGCAGCTGATTAACATCTCAAAAGCTCAAATTATATCTCAACTACAGCCCCAAATCTCAAATGAGTTGAAAAGTATGTTCTGTGGACGCAGTCTCATCTACCTGCTAGCTGTGCTCGAGTGCCTGACCACTGAGATCCTGGAACTAGCAGGAAACACAGCTCGTGACAGCAGAAGGACAGGATCGTCCCTTGGCACCTACAACTGCCTGTCCGCAGTGATGAGGAGCTTGTCAGACTGCTGGGAGGAGTGGCCATTGCTCTGGGAGTAGTTCTGCCTGGCATTCGGGCGGTCCTACAGCCCGGGGGAACCGAGAGGCCAGCCGAGTCTGGGTGGACGGATCGGATGACATCTGCAGCCAGTTTCTTATGATCCACTGTGGGATTCTTCATTCCTCAGGCATTTCTCACCCTCAAATTTGCCATTGAATATTTGAGTCAAAAACCTCACTGCCATCTTTCTTACACATTTTCAAACCTCCACTTGCATGTCATCAGGCCCTACTGCTTTTCCCTTCTTCATTATTTTCCGAGATTTCCAATCTTCACCCTCACTAAACTTCCCACTTCCTGGTTCACAGCTTGACCTTTACAAGAGATCCTTCCTGCCTACAGTCATCAGTATCTATAGCATCTCTTTATAAAATGAGGATAATGAGTTACAACAACAAATAATTTCCCTTTGGTATTAATAAAGTATTTTTGAATTGAATTGAATTGAACAAGAGATGCACTGGCTTGTGCTCCCTAGTGGCTAGTTTGCAGACACAGAGACTGCAGTTCTTTAATTTATTAAGGCTTGACTCTATTGAAACAAATAAGCAAAAAGTGAAAATAGAAAATTTAGTCCTGTACTTTTTCTTCAGTTAAATTCTTTAATTTTGTTTTGTTGTTTCCCCACACAGTTTTTGAGCACTTCTACCACGGGCCAGTACTAGCAACCGCAAACAGAACTGTGGTGCTTCAAGAAATAAATGAGATTCTAGATAAGTTTGAAAACAAGACGACAAACAAGCTTGAGCATCACAATGGGACTGTGTCTCTTACTGGACATAGTGAAGGTCAAATGTCAGTCTTGAGTCATGTCTTCCTGCCGGAGTCTTTGGTAGAATGCACAAGGGAAAGACCCATCCTCTGCCTGCTGCTCATGTTGGGGACTCTGTGGCTGGGGCACACACTCTATCTCATCAAGAGGAGGTACAGTGGATCTACTTATTGTCTTTTGTTTATGAAGTAGTGATTTAATCCAGTTTATTTTATAATCCCATCTCTTCTGCTCTTTTGAGTAATGCATTTTAAATAATTTGTGTTAAAACGACACAGTTCCTGCAGTCAATTAAACATCATATTGGAACAAATGCAGTGTTAAAGTTCACGCACAGATCTGTTCACATAAGATGCATACTGCTTTATGAATACACGTTACATCTGCAGTTCCTTTAAAAAAAAAAAAAACATGTTTCTCTGCTTATCTAACTGCCAGTTTTAAAGATTTATTTTGATATTTAATACAAGTCTTTGATAATTAAACTTGTACAACAGTTCAGAAAAAGTTAAGATGTTGAGCATAATAATAATAATAATAATAACAGAATGTGATGATTTTCAAATCTCACAAACACATATTTTATTTACTTTAAATGTGTGAATGGCATAGTGAACTTTGTTTATGGACAATTGTTTTGCCCATGCAGTGATGTCCATAACAGAATCAGATCTGTTTTTTACTGCAGTGCTGCCTGAGGGCTCAATGATCAAAACCATCAAATATGGACTGTCAGCCTTGTTCTTTGCACAATCTCCAGACTCTTTTGATGATACTATGATTCAGAAATAGTCCCACTATTTTTAGACACAGTTTGTTTTTTTCAGAATGATGAATCCCTGCCAACCTTTACTTTTGACAAATTCAGTTTCTCTCTTTTTTTTTTATACCCAGTCCTCCTGTTGACCAGTGGCCAATGTTAATTTGTTGAAAACTGTTTTTCCAGTTTATTCTTAATCAAACCACATGCTTTTACAGACATATTTCTGCCACAAACAAATAATACATAAATAAATGAAATAAAATTGTTTAAACAGTGTAAAAATTTACTGTATTCTAATTTTTAAAAAAGGTTTACAAAATTTGCAAATTATTGCATTCTGTTTATATTTACATTGTACACAAAATCCCAACTGGAGTTGGGATTGTCTATTTAAAGGGTACCAATGTGCTTTTTTCAAAGTATCTGGTAGATTTGATTGTTGTATCATGAAATTTAAATAAACTGCTTGTGCATACTTTCACAAAATAGTGAAAGTGAAGTGAAACTCATATTTTATATTGTAGATTCAATCCAGAGAGGGAAATATTTCAAGCCTTTATTTCTTGTAACTTTGATGATTATTGCTTACAAATAATGACAAAACAAAAATCAGTGTCTCAAAATATTAGGACATTGTGAATAAGTTCAATATTGGAAACCAATAATGTCACACCCTAATCAGCAAATTAATGCAAAACATCTGTAAAAGTTTCCTGAGCCTTTAAATGGCATCAGTCTCAGTCAGTGAGCTACACAATCATGGGAAAGACTGCTGACTTAATAGATATCCAGAAGACAGTCTTTGCTTTGACACCATGCATAAGGATGGGAAGCCACAAAAGGGTTTTGCTAAAGAAGCTGGTTATTCTCAGAGTGCTGTATCCAAGCATAACCATCGACATTTAGATGGAAGGAAAACATGTGCTAGGAAAAGGTGCACCAGCAGCAGGGATAACCTCAGCTTTGAGAGGACTGACAAGAAAAATTAATTCAAGAATTTAGGAGAGCTTCTCATGGAGTATACTGAGGCGGGAGTCAGTGCATCAGGAGCTATTATGCACAGATAAATACTAGACAAGACAGACATATCATATCTGGGTTGAGGAGACGAAGAACTGGACTGTTGCTCAGTGGTCTAATGTCCCCATTTCAGATGAAAGTAAAATGTGCATGTCATTTAGAAATCAAGGTCCCAGAGTCTGGAGGAAGAGTGGAGAGGCCCAGAATTCACATTGCTTGAAGTCCAGTGTGAAGTTTCCACAGACAGTGATGATATGGTGGCATATCTTCTGCTGGTGTTGATATACTGGGTTTTCTGAAGCCCTCAGTCAACGTAGCATCTACCAGGACATTTTAGGACACTTCATGTTTCCTTCTGCTCATGACCTTTATGGAGATGCTGATTTAATTTTCCAGCAGGACTTGGCACTTGCCCACACTGCCAAAGGTAGCTGGTTCAGTTGTCACAGTGTTACTGTGCTTGACTGGCCAGCACACTTCATTGTCCTGAACCCCCATAGATAATCTATGGGCTATTGTCAAGAGACACCAGACCCGACAATGCAGATGACTTGAGGACATCTATCAAAGCAACCTGGGCTTCCATTACACCTCAGCAGTGCCACAGGCTGATCACCTCCAAGCTATGACGCACTGATGCAGTAATTCATGTCAAATGAATCCCAACCAAGTACTGAGAGCATAGCAATGAACATACTTTTCATATGCCTGACATTTGTGCTCAAAATATATATATTTAGTTAATCTTATGAAATATTTAAATTTTCTGAGACACTAAATTTTGTGTAAGCCATAATAATCCAAATTACAAGAAATAAAGGCTTGAGATATTTCACTCCTGGTATAATGAATCTATATAATATATAATTTTCACTTTCAAAATGACTGACAGAAAACAATGAACGTTGTCGTGATATTCAAATTTTTTGAGCTGCACCTGCATTTCATACTGTGGTTTAGCTGTTTAAGATTTTGAATTGATCATTTCTAATTCATATAGCAGTAAATAAAAGTTCTAAATTATCTTATGGTTATTTTTAGGTCAATTTGTTATGTTCCTAATCCATTAAAATAGCGTAATAATTCTGTGTAAAGGCACTAACAGTAGAAAAAAAAAATCATCTAAGGTCTCCGGTGCAGAAATTGAACCTTGTTCACTTTGTTTAATAAATTAAATATGTGTATATGACTTGTTCATTCACTTTACTAACATTTAGGAGCTTATTTTTGTCTGAAAGAATACCTGCTGCTGTAGCACCTCTTGCAAAAAAAATGTATTGGTTGTAAAAAAGTTCAAATTTGTGGTGCTTCTTTTCCCTACAGCCCATACTTGAATGATAAAATCAGAGAGGTGGTGTCTGACTGCGCTTTGCCAATCTCTGTGGTGATTTTCTCCTTCATTGGCTCCTACCTTTTCATTGACATACAGCGTGAGTACAGAGCCTCAAAATCAAAGCATTAATAGACGATTCCCCATGAGAGTTAAAGTCCCAACTTTAGCTCAGAATACCTTTTAGGACTGAATTTATCCTGGGTTTTGATGTTTGCCAAACGGGGAGATATTTAATATTTGAAAAACTTCCAAGAAAGAAAGTTTCCTGTTCGTTTTGGTTTAAATTATACATTATAGGTTTTATGTTTTGCTTTGCAACTGTGAGTTATGAGTTGTTGTTGTTTTTGCTTCTGTCAGTTCCTGTTTTCAGTGTCCATGATGGTCCCATCTTCAAATACCCTCCGTTCGAAAAACTGACAGGAATGAATGCACTAAGCGCAGTCGGGTTAGGTTTTCTTCTCGCGCTGCTCATCTTTATTGACCAAAACATAGTCATTTCTCTCACACACGTTCCAGAACATAAGTAAGACTTCATACCTTTTCAATTTGAATGACATTTCATGGATGAAAAGATAAAAGTTATTTTCTGTCTGTTTGTTCTTATTGTGTCTAATAAGGGACTGTAGTAGGTCTTGAATCCAGAAGAAATGCTGATTTTTTTCAATGAAAAACGAGTTGAAATATTCTATATGCGTGTGTGTGTGCACATTTGCACCAGGTTGTTAAAAGGCACAGCGTTCCATTGGGATTTAATGCTGACTGGCTTCATCAACATCCTCATGTCTTGCCTGGGGTTGCCATGGATGCATGCGGCCTTCCCACATTCCTCCCTACATGCCCGTCAGCTTGCCAAAGTAGAGCAGCACGTAGAGAACGGACACCTCTACACAACGTGAGTAAAGTTAAGATGAGGACAATAAAAACAAGCTGTGTACATGTTTTCAATGCTCTGTATGGAAGACTTGCAATGGCTGTGCCTCGTCTCTTTGCTTTTTGAAATAAACTTACAATATGTACAAACTATCAACAGAAAACTGAACAAAAGTAGAGCATGTGTGCGCACTTTTGTGCTTGGGAACAGAACTGAACAACTCCAGGCTCACAAGTTACATTACAATTACACAAACTTTACTGACTGATGGAATCTGCTCAGTTCTCAATTAAATCTATGTAAAAGCTTAGTTTTATAAATAATAATAATAATTATACCAAATGTTTATAATACTTATTTATTTTGTTTTTGTTATTTGAAGATATATATTTTTTTAATTATTATTATTTTTTGAGAAAGGGGAAGAGATACGATTTTTTCTTCTTTCTGCTGCCTTTCATTTTATTTGCAATTGTATTTCTTATTGTATATAGAATTGTTTTGTTTTTAAAAAATGAATAAACTTTATAATAATAAAAATTATATATATATATATATATATATGGTTCTCATGTCGGGTGACCATATGTGCCTGTATGAAATGTATAATTATTTTACTTTATTTATGTTATCAACATAGTTTAATTTAATAGCATACTATATGTAACAGAGTTTTGTTAAAAATGACTTATTTGTATTCTTGTCGTTGTTTCGAAACCACACTGTTAGACACAGACAGTATACGTAATACCTATACCTTCATTAAAAGTATCCTCACACAACACAAACTACCGTTAAAAGTTTTCTAGCTGACCATGGTGGTGACTTTCACCTCATAAATGTTGCGCAAGAAAAAGAAACTTTCTGATGAAACTACAAAAATGCTGCTTGTAGAACGTGAGGAAAACTAAACATAAATATTAAAACAAATGCATTTTACATGATCTAAATTTGACCTGTTAATCCTAATATTGCTGTTGAGCACTACGTTATTAATTAATTAATTAAATTTAATTTCAGTTTAAGTATATAGTACCAAGTCACAACAGAAGTTGTCTCAGGGCACTGTACAAAATATTCACATACATTAAAAAAAGCCAATTGGTAAAAGTTATTTATCTAAGGAAGCCAAATGGTTGCGTTGAATCTTCACTGTGTCACAGTTTTCCCATCCTGAACAAGCACAAAGGCAACAGTGGAAAGGAAAAACTCCCTTTAAACAAGAAGAAATCTCTGAGCAGCCACGAGCTTCGGCCGTCTGGAGTTTGAGAGAACAGGAAGGAGAAACAGACAAACATAGAACGACAGATTCCAGGTTTACTTTCTACTGGAGGAAAGACAAATATATGTAAGGATAGAAAAATACAAATACTAACAGGTAGAGTAGAGCAAGTAAAGACAGCAGCAGAATGAGGAAATGTGGTCAATTTGTTCTCCAGGAGTCTAAGCCTAAAGCAGCCTAACCAAGGGAAAGCCGAGGAAACCCAAGCCAATCCCGACTATAGGATTTATCAAAAAGGAAAGACTTGAGCCTAATCTTAAAAGCAGACAATGTGTCAGCCTCCTTGTAAATTCTGGAAATCCAAGACAGACAAATTCCCTTCAAGTTAAACTGTCACTGTCATTCTCTTGTTTGTGTCAAAGCTAAAAGGGAACTGCTTTCTTGTAATCAAGATAAGTCCATGCTCTATAAAGACAAGAAACACTTAACAGGCTGAGTACTTATCCTCCCTTTTGGTTCTAATAGGATCGTCAGTGTGAAAGAGACACGTCTAACCTCGTTAGCAGCCTACATCCTGATTGGCCTGTCAGCCTTCATGCTTCCCATTCCTCTCCAGTGGATCCCCAAGCCCGTCCTTTACGGCCTCTTCCTTTACATCGCAGCCACTTCACTTGATGGAAATCAGATGGTGGACCGCATGACCTTGCTGCTAAAGGAACAGGTGAGCAGGAAGAGCTTATAGGAAGAGTTTTTAGATTTTCCGTTTCCTATTCACCTGCGTCTACCACTTCATATCATCTTTACCCCCCCCGCTGTAGCACTCTTAAGGGACAACACATGCAAAAAATACATAAACGTATTGTCTCGATTTTGTGTTAGAATGTAAACGAATCAACTCTTTAGAAAAAGGGAAAACTTATTATAGATGAGCAACCATGTTACGATTTGAAGAAACTTTTGCATAGTAAGTGGGTGCTCAATATTCTAGCTTATCTTATGACCAGAACGTTTTATTTTAATGCAGTATTGTTGACTTTTTGATATAATATGATACAAAAAAATAGGCTTTTATGTTCCTTTTTTGTGTGGCTGGCAGCAAAACTATACAAATAAAACCATCGTTTAATTTCTGTAAATGGAAAATGTTCAGCTTTCAGATATAAAATTAGTGACAATAGTGTGATTTTATACTTAGCTTGCTTTTGAAATGCTCCAATCAATAGACATTTTAACTGCACATTGCTCACTCCATTCTGTCTAGACATCTTATCCTCCCACCCACTACATTCGCCGTGTACCTCAGAGGAAGGTGCATTATTTCACTGGGCTGCAGCTGGTCCAACTGGTCATCCTGTGTGTGTTTGGGATGTACCCTCTGCCCTACATGAAGATGGTCTTCCCTCTCCTGATGATCCTGCTGGTCCCTGTCAGGTGAGATATTAAAATAGCCTAGCGAGGTGGCGCTTTGGTTTTACATGAAAATATCTATTTGTTGGTGCAGATTCTTACAATTTATATTAGTTTTCAAGTGACTGTGTTTAGAAGTCGATGGGGAAGAAATAACAGAAAGAAATCCTCACTTTGCTTTTAATTTAAAATAAGTTTTTGTATTTTTGTAAACTAAAGGTATCCCTGATTCTGCTGCCATTTAAACTGCAGGATCCCATTAGAAGTCCCGATTTGATTTTTACCTTGAATTTTACCCACACTAAGTAGTTCGCTTTTTGAAAGTAAGACATGTGACTGTATCTTGTGCTCTTCTCAGGACTAGCTTGCTTCCCAGAGTGATTGAAGCCAAGTATCTGGACATCATGGACTCCCAGTACATGTAGAACAACCTGACAACACTGGTAAAAGATGGAGAATTGAGAGGAACAGACGGAAAACTAAATTATTGCAATACAAATAATAAAAAATGTGGAGCATTTGTACTTGGTCCAAGGTTTTAGATGAATGGTAAAAGGACTGTACTGTAGCACCTTTCTATCTGATTAAGATACTCAACACAATCTGTGCCCTCATTTAACCATACTCAACTATTTCTATACAAAGAATAATCAGTGCTTTATCACATTCATGGGACACACATCTGAGGTAATGGGGGTTCAGTGTCTTGCTCAGGGACACTTGGCATGTGACTACTAGTAGAATCGAACCCACAACTCTCGCATTGGAGGACGACTGCTCTAAAGACTCAGCCACAGCCGCCCCTTCATGTAAAACTCTGAACTTCTAAATGCATAACGGCCATCGTTTGCTTTTTACTTGTTCACTGCACATTTACCATAACTATACCTGGTTTTAATTTGCAACATCTCTACACCATTTTTTTTGTTTATTTGTTTATTTGTTTATTACACTCCTAGGTATAAAGATGTTCATGTAATATTCTGTAATATTTACAAAGCACCAAATATTAGTTTTGTTGAGGTATTACTCTGCTTAAAATAGAGTCCCTTGAATTTAAAGTGACATCTTTATCAGTGTAACTTCAGTTTAATTCTAAGAAACACCTAAAATGAATACATACAGTATTTATCACTTCAAATCAGCAAAACTTCTTATTCGTCTTTGGGTTTTTCCTTCTTCAGGGGTCGCCACAGCGAGTCTTCCTCTTTCATCTGTCCTCTGCATCCTCTGTCCTCACTCCAACTACCTCCATGTCTTCTCTAACTGCATCCATGTATCTCCTCTTTTTCTTTTTCCTCGCTGCTGCTTTTCTAACAGCCTTCCACCACTGTCCCTCCTCTGGACATGTCCAAACCATCTCAGTCTGGTCTCTCTAACATTATCTCTCAGTTGTTCAACATGTGCTGTACCTCTGGTGATCTCATTCCTAATCTGATCCATCCTTGTCTCTCCTAAGGAGAACCTCAGAATCTTCATTGCCACCACTTCCAGTTCCCCTAACCCTAACCTCAAATCAGCAAAACCTTAAAGTTAAATTGTATTTCAGATAATGTATTACAGTGATTCAATTGTAAAATGCTTTGTTTACTTATAAGAAGCCACATAATGTTGCCATTTCTGTATGACATCATTAAGGGTTTTGGTTCTTGATACTGTAAGGTCAAAACTAAATATTCTGAAAATAAATGTTTTTAAATGAACAGAACAATAATTTAATTATTTTGACTTGATAAACAAAAACATAAACTGACATTTTATTTTTTCATATTGGCTGTTTTTTTTGTTTTTTTTTCCAAACTGCATCACCCAGGCCTCCTCTTACTGCACCATCTTTCAAACTCCTCCAGTAGATGGCAGTATTGTTTCACATCCTGGGACTTCTGACCTTCCACCTTTACATTACAAAGAAAAAGACAGACTCATGTCATCCTTCATCCTGCAAGAGAAACAGTGATAATGAAGTTATGACTAACCAGATATGAAGCCTGAACAGCTTCCCAAAGGTCACCAACTTCACCTGATCACTCATTTAATTTGGGTTATTTGATTCCCACAAAGTCACTTTATTAGAAAGGTTCAGCTGCTTGGCTGGTTTTGTAAATGATTGTTCAACATTTATTTCATTATCTGGTTCATTATACCTTTTTTTTTTTTCTGTTGGTGTTTTATTTGCCTGCAATTATTGTTTTGCCTTCACACATACTCAAAAAATAAATCTGTTAGTTTGAACAAATTAAATAAAAAATGTCTGTTTTGACTGTAGAACAAAAATTTAATTTGCTAAAACAAAGGCTAAAATATCAAGAACACAGCAGAAAAATACATATATTTGAACTTTAAGTGAATCAGAACCCTATTGTTTTTGTTAAATGAATCAAACATAAAAAAATAACTCTCATTTAAGGAATGATGCTGAATCCCTTAAATCACATCTAATAGAAGCAGAACACTTATAAAAATGGAATAAAAATGTACTTTTCATATTTGCAATTTATTTACATTTGTGTTTGAATTAAAAAATAATAAAAAAACAGTGAATGGATCAGTTTAGCACCATGTGACTTGATTAAAATTTGCCCAAGTTAAATGAAATGGATAATTTTCCTAAAATTCTGAATATACCAAAGGAATAAAAATGATAGTTTCACATATTATGATTGCCCTTTATTACACAATGTTTACTTTCTTTGTACATACTTTGTATTTAGGATGAGTTAGAAACACATTAAATTGGAGGAGAGAGGACCCTGATGACCTTCAAACCCTAACCCTTTAGGTCCACTTTAATATTACCATATTTTTCAGATTATAAGGCATAATATCAATGAACGGGGCTGTTTTCATGCATAAGGTGCACTAGATTATAAAGCGCATTAAGCAAAAAAACAGTCGGATAAGTAAAACTTTATTCAACTCATTCACAATAACCACATAAAATCAGTTCAAGGTAAACACAACCAGAATGACTACATAAGGTGCACCTGATAATAAGGCTCACTGTCGATTTTTGAGCAAATTAAAGGATTTTAAGTGCGTTTTATAATAATTTTTTTTTTTTTTTTAAACGGCACACTGATTCATTTTCTGGCCCAAAAGTGAAAAGCCTTAAAAATCCACACAATCCAGCCATGGCTTCACCGAGACTGGTTCTCTGAAGGGATTTGAATCCCATGAGAAAACAGAGGAGATGATGTGGCTGCCACCACAGGGATATATTAGCCTCCTGGACACCATAGAGATGCTGTCAATTAATTTGCCATCATACAGCTTGAATTTTCATTTGTCTGCCAGCTCCAAAGAACACCCTCTGCCTTTTCTGAGATGTCTGCTGAATAAATTGTGGTTTTGTCTGTGCAGGTGGCGCCCAGTATCTTCATTAGTCCTTTCCTGCACATTTCTAATAGCCTTTCGTTTCCTGCATCGCATTGTCTACCTGTCGTCTCCCCCACATTAAAACGGTGTCACCAGCAGAGTCTGTGTGCTCCGGATACCCTCTGAAGCCAAAAAATCCCAGCATTCCCTCAGACTGCCTCTGACACCAGTCAGCTTCTGTCTGAGGGTGCAGGACAGCCAAGAAAAATGAGGCTCCATCTCACAGACACACGAAGAGTTGCAGCTCATGATTATTTACATGCACTGAGTGCAGAGACTTTACATTTAACCCCGTGACTTTTTATAATTTTCTTTTAGATGCAGGGAATTATGACCTACATTTGAAATATAAGTACTTTTTTCGTAAAGCTTTTAGTATATCATGGCTTATTAACAGTAAATAAAGAAAACGGTACAACCGTGTGAATGCAACCTTAGTAATTACATTATATTTTAGATGCTGTCATTGTTGAGTTGGTAAAATTAGGCAGAAGCAACGTCTAAAGTGGAATACTGTACACATCATATTTTAGCTTTACTTGCAAAAAAAAAAAAAGATCTAACTACCGTATTTTCCAGCGTATAGGTCGCAGCTTTTTTCATAGATTTGTCAGTCCTGCGACTTATACATCGAAGCAACTTACATGTTTTTTTTTTTTCCATATTCGTAATGCAATTTTTGACTGATGCTTTAACCTTCAAAGAACTGCAACAGCAAGTCCTCCCATGCATGCTTGCTTCAGTCAGCTGGTGCAGGTGGAGGAACGCTGGAGAGCTAGTGGCTCCGGCCATGATGAATGGATGGATGAATGGATGGATGGATATGGAGCCGCACCAACCAGGCGAAATGAAGCTGTTTTGACCATTAAATAAACGCATAATAAATGTGACTTTTACGCCAAAGCGACTTGTATACGTTTTTTTTTTTTTGACTGATGTGACTTATACGCCGGAAAAAATGGTAGTTGGTTTCTGTATGACCTTATCAGTCCTTTGGTTCATTGAGAAAGAATTTCAGTCTTTCTTATAACATTGGTTCACTTCAGGACTGATGCAGTATTTTAATCTGGTTATGTCTCAGAATTTAAAGGAGCCATTGCAACTACTTGTTTTGTATTTTTTCCCCTACATTATGTTGTAGAATTTCTAGTTTGCCTAAGATTGCTAATGCAAGTTACACTTCAGTTATTGACAAATGGTCTTAGACTTGATTCTGAAATACTTTAGTTTACAGAACAATTCATGGTCCATTCAACGACCATAAAATGTTCACACCCTGTGGCCACAGAACAATCCCAACATTTCACCTGCTCACTACGATCCTTGGCAGTTGGTATGAAGCCATACTTGAATTTTCTGCTTTTCTGACAAAGGCAGTGTTGTGCAATGTACACAACCATCTTTAATCCATTGAACATTGTTGGATTTTATATCTGGATTATTGAGCATGAACTTTGGTGTTTTGAACCACTTTGGTATGACTGTCTCAGAAGAGTTGGGGGGGGGGGGCATTTTAAAAACAGATTTCATACTCTGCAACAAAATGCGACATACTGTTAAACTTACTGAACATTAATTTCTAGCATTCAGTAATATTTGTGTTAAACCTTGAGCTTTGAGGCCAGCTGGGTGACACTTGCATGACTCCACTGGTCAGCTGCCACTGCACATAAGACAGCCAACGGTTAGACGCCACAAAAACAACTTTCACACACAAATTAGCGCAGACACTCTCACACATGCTCACACCTCCCAGTGTTCACACCTCAGCTCTCCCTTCATTTTCTCGATGCTCACACTCAGTTCTTACATGTTCGCCTAAACCTGCTAAAGAGGGCAGGCTTCTACATGACAACACATCCCGTTGCTTGGGCTGTTGAAGATTAAAACGGCTAAGGTGACAGTTAGGACAGATATTTACCACTGAAGCTGCTATAGATAACGCATGGGATCTTGCATTAATAACTAGGTTGTTGAAGCCTGGCTCAGACGTCAGGATGCATTAGGTCCATCATGGAAATCTGTCTGTTCTATCAATACTGACAATGGAGCAGTAACTGTGTGTGCGTGCAGCCGGTAGATAAGC